ATTGGAGTGTCTAGGAAAATATGAATATCATTTATTCAATGAATACTTATTAAATACTTTCTTAATTCATGGCTATGAGATGGGCGCTGACAGAGAAAGCAGAAACTTAGCCTGGGGTTGGAGGAGGTACACATGCATGCACGCAACACAGTATATGATATGTAGCATGACACACACTACATATCATATATCATATATGAATGGCAACACACGCTAGAAGAGGAGGTGGCCCTGCAGCAATGATTGGACACACCAGAGGCCTGTTCAAATCTCATCTCCCTAATGAAGCCATCATCTCCTACCTCTTCTCCGTTTTCTCTTCGTTCTTTTTTCTGTTCCAAATCATAACCTCCATTAATGTTTGGGCTACAGAAACCAGGACAGGGTCTCCAAACACTGCAGAGTCTACTGTCAGCTTGAGGGTCTCAAATGGGAGGTCTTGGCTTGTTGAAATGTCTTTTCCCCCCAAACCCCACCTACCTGGACACCTCCTACACATCTTTTAAGGCTCCTCTGTGAGTTTTCCACTGACCTCCCTGGACAAATCTTTAGAGGTAGAAACGTGGAATGTATTTATCAGTAATATAATTATTTGAAAACAATAAAAACACCAATATCCTTTATTCTCCTTTCACATCTCTTAGTAGTTATGCCTCCCAGACAGCCTCTAGGTTTCTCTCTTCTTCTCTTCTCCATCGTGGCCGGTCTCTTCCCTCTCCTGGTGTAGAATCCCTGGGAGAAGATAGTGAGCAATGGTCAGGGTGTCCAGGCTGGAGGAATTGTCATTAGTGAGAGGTGATGTTCAGCGTCACAAAGAGTGGGGCACGCGGCTAGAAATGGTGGGGGATAGAGATAGGATAGGAACCTTAGTCAGAAGCCACCTCCGTATTGCACCTTACACATACCTCCACCAGGACGCTTATCACTTAACTTTGTCATTCACTGTCTGCATGTCTGTGTAGACTTCAGGCCTGAGGGCAGACAGAAATGGTGTTCATCTGTGAAACCTCGGGCATAGTAAACACCATTGATTTCTCATGGCCAGTAAAGAAGTTAATTGACTTTCCCATTCCAACTAATGTGTCTGTAGATTCTATCCAATTCAGAAATAGGGGTAGCTGGAGAAACCTTGCCTGTTCTGGTTACTCAGAACTCTAAAATAGGGACAACTTTTTGAGTTTGTCACTCTCTCCACTGTACCTTTCCTGTACCTAATACCAAGGTTCACTAAATGGCTCACTGGAATTAAGGTAATTAAGGAGGCTTATTAAAGAAAACTGGAAAACAATTCAGGTTTGAAGTTAAATCCTTTTTAACTTCATTTACATTTGCTCTTCAGTCTTCAGATTCCCAATGCTATAGCTTTGAGTGACCCAAGCTAATGTTGGCTGATGACAGGTATTAAGAAGCTCACTTATAAACTTGACCATCTGCATAATTGTGTCCTTTTGAAATGCTTATATTACCTTCTTCCTACTGGGGTTTGAAGTAGTATTAATAAAAAAAAAAAGGTAGCTCTGGGGTCACATGAAATTATCATGCATATCTGTTGTATCTGAGGAGAAAGTCTTGATGACTTGATCTTTTTCTGTAGGAGAGAGATAAACCCATGGGGAAACTTACCCTTCCCATCTATTTATTCATTCCTTCAGTCCTTTGTTGAGCACTTACTCTGTGAAAAGCACTGTGGTAGGTGCTGGGGATAAAAAGGTGAAAGTTGTTTTCAAATTCCTTGAGCGGGAAAGATCTCTCTGACTGCAGTGACAACCTAGGCCAGGGGTCAGCAAACTTTTTCTGTTAAGGGCGCGGTAGTAAATGTTTTAGACTTTATGGGCCATCAGGTCACTGTTGCAACTACTCCTGCCTTTGTAGCACCAAAGAGGCCATAGAGAACTCAAATACATGGCATGGTTGTGTTCCGACAAAACTTTATTTACGGATAATGAAATGGTGAATTTCATGACATTTTCATGTATCATATAATATTATTATTTTGATTTTTTTCAACCATTTACAACTCTAGCAACCATTCTTAACTTGTGCAGTGTACAAAAAGAGGCAGAGGGCTGGGTTTGGCCCTTGAGCCTTAGATTTTCCACCCCTGATGTAAGAGATGGTCACTGGTAGATTAGATGATGTGTGATTTCTAAGTCTAGCTCTTGTTCAATCAAAGCGGAGATCTAATCAGCATCGGAGGAGTAAGCCTTGTCTTTTCTTCTTTCCTACCTCTGTTAATCTCCTGTTCCTGAAACCCCAATTCCATAGGTCTTTCTACAAAACAGAAATCTTTTTATAAATGTATGATACCACCAAGCACATCTGGAGACTTGTTTTCCTGTGAGATAATAAACATGATTCCAATAACTGTTTGGTCTCTGAAAAGGTTTAATTTAGTATTTTTCTTTCCCTATCTCCATACTAGAAATTAACGTAAAAACTCCTTCTGGCTAAATTCCCAATACATTTTCACAGTGAGCATTTTTTGAAGTGAAAATTAGTAGCACCCTTGTAGTGTTCATCAGGAATGTGAAATTGGGCAGCTCAGAGGGGTGGAGAATTCAAACCCCATTTGTGAATTAATGCACACTTCTGAGGATACCTCACTGTCAGCAGAGTGCCAGGGATTCATTTCTACAAAATCCTGAGCATCTATTTAGTGTATTTTAATTTCCTTTCTCATTCTACCAGTGAGAGAATATCATTTTCTATTTGCACAAATAAATTAATATGTAACAACTAGTACCTATATAAAATTATATTATTTACACCATCCTTAGGGGTTGGCAACACTTTGGCAAATTATAATGTCTCTTCGTAATTCCTCCTCCTTTCTTCTCTCCCAACTTTTATCCAGGTGAAATCTAGTTACAGTGAGCATTAAGGACGCCCTGAAGCAGGAACAAGAGTCAGTGGGGGTGAGCTTATATGGGGAAGAGCTGGCCCAAGTCCTATTTATGGCTGCACAATAATTAAGGATCTATAGGGCTTCCTTATTTAAGCTTAAGATGCCACTTTTACATCTTACATCTTTCTTCTTTGACAACCTCTGCCTCTCTGTAGCTCTAGCCATTTGGTCCCCAAACCAGCCTTGAGTTCTCAGTCTTGGAATCTAAACTACTGAGCTAGAATCCTTCCCCCCAAACACTACCCCTCCCCCATCTCCCCCTCCCCCGCCCCCACATGTGATGGCACTGGTCTTTCAGATCAGAAAACTCTGATAGTATAGAAAATTTGATTTCTGTGGCAATTCACAGGAGTTGTATGAGAAAGAGTTTGTTATTTTTAAAAACACTTATGGGCTTTAGAATCAGACACAGCTGGATTTGAACCCTGGTTTTTCCACCTAGTAGCTCTTACAGGCTTCAGGCAAAATAGTTAACTTCTCTGTGTCTTAGTTTGGGTAACTGTGAAATGGAGGAAAAACGCTACCTCCTAGAGTAGAGATGTGTATTAACGAGGTAATGAATAGTTAGTAAGTGCTCACTAAAAGGCTGAGGAGAGCACTTAGCAAAGTACTTGATACAAATGCTACCATTGTGAAAACATTAAACTTTTTTCCCTTCATGTATACTTCAAACATTTATTGAACTGCTGTTTGCTTCTAAGAGTACAGAAAAATAAAAGAGAGGAGCTCATTTCAAGTAGAAAAGGCAACCGTAGACCATTAAGTGCAGTACAGGGGAAGGAGTGTAAAACCGAGGTACGTCCAGGCAGTACGGGCCCCAGAGGTGGGAGTGGTCACCAATATATCTGCGGACCTCGGAGTAGGCAGTGTTTACACTGTGTTGGAGGATCAATAGATTGTCAGGTAACTGAAGGTGGAAGTATATTCCCATTACAGGGATAACACAACACTTGTTTTGAAAGAGTTTAGGGTAGCAGAGGTGGGGGGCGCCGAGTAGTCACAAGTGAGGCTGATGAAAGATACTGGGGACAAATGACAAAAGGCCTTGAATGCACAGAAGACTGGGCTCTGACTTGGTCAGTGGGCCTTTCTGATGTGTGAGAAAGCAGAAAGCCATTAATGAGGTGACGCCCTTCTCTCTTGTAAGTGTGGCTGAGTTAGATTAGAGATCCATGTGTCCAACCCGTCATTTCCACAGGAGGAACCTGAGGCCAAGGATCAAGTAACCCAGCAAAAACCGGGCAAAGCAAGAACAGGACTAGGAATAGGTCATCTGAATCCAATGCTTTAAAATTCCTCCATACCAAGGCCCTGTCATTTAAATCCAGGCTTCTTCATTAAAGCCTTGCATTCTATATACTGGATTCAAATACAACTACAATTCCAGCACGCTTTATCGAGTCACTGCATCTCCCCCACGTTCTGAGCATCAGAACTGTCAGCCCTCCCTGCTGGGAGTGGGGACATCAGCTAGGAGCGAAGATGGGAATTTTACAAGGAGGAAATGAACCAATTACAATGCCTTGCAGATGCAGAAGCAAAATAAAAATCCAGAGCAGATTGAAAAGACTTCTTCCTTACCCTTGAACTTGCAATCTAGAGTCTAGTTTTACAACTGGGAATCAACGCATCACATTGTAGCTGCTCCCGGCTCTTATTCGTAGCCTCAGCCACCCCTCAGCCTTTCCCCAGGGCCTAGGAGGAAACCTACCAGCCTAAAAAGGTTGTGTGTGTGTTGGGGGTGGGGGGCGGTGTGCTGGGGAACCCCGCTCTGCGCAACAGAACAGGAGCCTGGGTCGCCTCCTACATCGGGGCCCAGAAAAAGGGCTAGAAGCTGAGCTGAGCTTCAGCTTCCCCGGGCTCCGTTCCAGCAGCGCCTTGGCTTCTCCGGAACCTGGGCACTTGCCTTCTCCCCTCCCTTAGCAACCGAGAGGCTGTGGATACGGCCAGCGGGTGGGGGCTCCGGAGGCTGCGAGTAGCTTGGGCGCAGGGGCGGCGGCAGCCCAGCCCAGGTGCCCCGCGAACCGGCGACCGCAGTGCGGAGCCGCCCGCGAGCGCGACTTTCGTGGCGCCAGCGTGCGCTGGGCCCCACGCACCCACCCTCCGCACCTGCCGCGGGGTCCAAAAAAGATCCTGCAAATATGAGCCACTCTCACCCCTCTGGGTAAGTGACAACCGAAGATTTTCCACGCCGCGGCAGGTGGCGGCTTCATCCCGAGGCCCCTCCCCCTCCCTCCTGCTGCAGAGCGAAGGGGCAAAAGGGAGAGCGACCGGGGGGATGGGCCCGAGAATAAAATAATACAGATTCTGGGTTGCAGGGAGGGTGGCTGAAATGCTAGGCTTTGTATCTCCTCCCTCTCCTTCCTTGCTTTTCACCCACGTTCACCCTTTTGGAAATTTTCAGTCTGGAAGGATTAAAGAATGGATGTGAGAAACGCATACATTAAGCAGGGACATTAGCTGGGATCAAGAGGATCCTGTGGTGTGGAACATCGATGTTTAAATGCAAAAGTAGTGGTCACCAAAATACACATTCGTTTGGAGATTCGGCAGCGAGATAAATTCTCCATGTGGCGTCTTGCATACAAAAGAGGTGTGAGTGAACTTAAAGTTGAGGGTGGATGCATTGTGAGGGGTGCCCCTCCTGAATTTTCATCTGCCCAGTCCCCAAAGGAACTTAAGAGGCCATTAATAGTATTTGGACAAGGGAAGGTGGTATGACACAGGAAAAGGAGAAAGGGAAGGAGCTGTGTGCTTGTATGTTCATAGATGATCTCCTATTGCTTTGGGCAGGGTGACTCCTCAGAAGACATATTTTGGCAATTATTCAATCTATTTTAGAAAGTTAACACAGCCATATTGGCTGTTGCCGACCCCCACCTCCCAAATAGTCTTGGTCTTTCTTATTGGAAGAGTGAATATCCAATTTCTTTCTGAATTAAACAATGTCATGCATATTAGATAGTTTTTTTATTATGATACATCTAAATAAGTAGATAATATCCTAGTTTATCTTGCAACTAATTTGAAGATGTTTTCTTTTTTAATTGGATTTATTGCACATTTTCAAGAGCAGCAAATTAGCGGAAGACAACATATTTAAGATCACTTGGAGTTTGTGATGTCTGAAATACCACATTAGTTGTTGTGCTTCGGATTTATAGTCAAACTTAAAGATTTTATTTTATAATGAATTCTCTGAGTGTAATGACATAAAAAAGATGCCTGAAAAAAACTAAAGGCCTATAAGGCACCATGTTGCAAGTCAGTTTCAGAACTTCCTGGAAAGTGATGTAGCTGTGTCTAAACAAGGTTCTTATTTTATCTTGAATTGAATGTAGTTTAGGTGCTTTAACGTTTTGATGCTGACCTCCTGGGCAGTGTTAGTTACCTGTGGATCAAATAAGATGTAATTGACACTGTTTTTCTGCAGCTGCTATTTGCATTCCCATTTGGGAAAATGAAGGTGTCAGTGCTGTTTGTCTTCCTGTTTTTCAAGTTATTGAAGAATAGACCATTTGATCATCTGTTTTAAAATGTGGAAAACCTGTAGCTGCTTATGAAATGTGCAGCATTAAGATTTCAGAAACTGAAGTGAAATTTTCCCAAAGCTCCATTAGTTGCAAGCACATGGGAAAAAGGAAACTGCGATTTGGTGAGAGTATGCTTCATGGTACTCTTCAAGAAAGGTATTAGGATGGCAACAACAGTTTTGCAATAAATTTGGAAGCTCCTGGAGAACAGGAACCGTACTTCATTAATCTTTGTGCCCCCTTTGCCAAGGACAAATGTTCTTATAAAGCTCAGCAAATGTTTGTTGAATGAATGGTATCACCTAGAGGTGGATGTATTCACATATGAAAATCATATTAGAGCTAAACATTTATCAAGTGCTTACCACGCTCCAGGCTCTAGTCTAATGTTTTACATGAAATATCTCATTTAATCTTTGAACCCACTCCATGTCGCAGGTTCTAGTCACCCTTCTTTTCACACATAAGGAGAGTGAGGGCTGGGAACTTTTTAAAGATCTCGCAAGAAGGAGGGTGTAGGGCTGGAATGCAAAACCAGGTAGTCCAGCTTCAGAGCCTGTGGGCATAACCGTTCTACTTACTACATTGCCTCTCATGGTCAACAGCTGAGATTTGTGGGAGCCCTAAATATATAGAAATTCTTACCCAGATCAGACTGACATCTTACAGGTGATAGGTGCACGTAAATATCTAGTATTTTAATATATTATTAGGAAATAATTTTGTGGTAGTATGTACATGTTCATATATATTTTGTTTTTGTTTCATCAAAAATAAATGAAAATAATAAACGTAAGAACTCTAAATGCTTTAAAATTCACCCAAGGACAAAATTATTCAAATTGCTGAAGTTTTCCCTCAGTATACGTAGTGATTATTTTTCTTGCCTGTGCTATCACTTGGAAATAATAAAAGTTTCAGTAGCAAATAAAAGGTTTCATTAAAGCTGAGAAAGCTTTTTCATCATTACTGAAGCAGTTTGTACTTATTACATTTGAAGGATAAAGCGGTAATAAAGTGCAGTTGTACAATAGAACAGAAATTTTAAATCCCTGAAATCCCACCAATCAATAAGTGATGTCCTGATGCTTTCTCTTAGGGCTTCCTTTTGAGTTCCACTGCTTACTTAATTACAGCATGCAACACGACACACACATGGCAAAGGGCCTGTGCTGACTTCGTTCAGTTAGACTTTGGAGTAAATAAAAATAGCCTTAAAAACTTCTGCCACAAATCATAACAAAGACTTTGAATCTGAGCTGCATTGTAATTGAGGAGGGGGGGAGTCAAGTATAAAACACTATTTCTGTCACTGCCATCTCCAATGAAATTGTTTTAGAGTGGAGAGTTTCAATTGGTAGTCTCTTTGGTTTGCTAAATCTCACCCCGAGTTGCTATTTGTTTGTGAGCTGTGCACTAGTCTTGGAGATGGAATGGCAGTTTTATACCCCTCTGCCATTCACAGCAATAAGATGATATGGCTCTTTTGGCACCTTCAAAGGATCATCTTTGAATCCTTGTCTCTTTTAGGTAGAGATAGTCACACCTGTCCATAAATTTGCTTTCAGGAACTGGAAGAATGGGGAATATTATCATTTATGACAACATAAAAACGCACAAGATGTTGTATGTTTGGAAAGATTCTGCCAAGGTTTAGAAGCATTTTTCTTTGTTTAGACTTACTAATTTATACTTTTTTTAAATATAAAGAAGTGTTTCTGTAGTGACAATATACTGAAGTGTGGTATAGAAAGAATTAACCCACTCAGTACTCCCTGATAACTCTGCCCTTTATCAAAAGCAAAGTAATGACTGCTGTAAGTAAAATTGTCAATTTTTGGGTAATGAAGATGTGCATCCAGAAGTGACAAAATAACCACAAATCCACCATGTTATTTACAATGGGAGTGGCCATTGCACTTCGTCTCTGCCTTTTTCATTAGCTAGCAGTGTAGCGCTCTGAATGATGGTATTAGCATTCTAGCCTGTCGCTCACCACTCGCTCCCACCACCAAAATATGCCACACAGAATTTCAGGCTTGAAGTCATGAAATATTTGAATTCAAATTGAATAGTCCCTATTCAACCTCCTGGTAAATATTAGCAACTTCAAGGAGTAAATTTTTTTCTGGTTAAATGAATTAAATTCAATGCAGTCTTTTTTTTTTTTTTTACTTCCTCCCTTAACACTTTGTTGAGATTCTGCTCTTTTGTTTTTATACATGGGATATCTTCTCAACCCCTTGCTTAGCAAACCTGTTCATATAAGTAGGTGGGAATGAAAAGGGATTTGTTATACAATGTCACTCAAATCTTTGAACTCCTTTGTAGTTACATGCCAAAAATCACATAATGATCTATCTTTAAAAAAATGTTTTTTGCAATCTCAAATGGCAATGTAGGTCCTCCTCCAATTGTTTAGAAAGCAAAGGACTGGAAACAAAGGATTGCAACCCTACTTGTTGCCCAGTCATAAAAGTGATTTGTTGTATCAACATCTATACAATACTTCAAATTGTCCTTTTGTTTCTCAGATGTTTTTCTAAGTTCAGTGCACCCTAATAAGATACCAGATGGGGAGACGGGTGCCTTTCTATTGTAAAACAAAGATGGAAGGGGGAAATCATCATGTCTGGAAGTACATTTTTCAGGTAGATCAGTTTTAGGAGCATACAGAGGATACTTCAGAGTCTAAAAATTGATTCCCTTAAAAGTACCCTTGCCTGGGTTCCCTCAGAAAGTCTTTGGGCAGCCCCAGGAGTATGCATATCCCAGTTAGTGAACATCTGCTTTAGGGAACAGGTGCTGTTGATGCAGTCTACTGTAGCATTGCTCCTTTCTCCCATGCTTTCTTTTTTTTGTCCATTGAGGCATTTTATTTGCACATATATAGTACATCCTTAGAAAAAGAACCCCAGGATTTTTCCTCCAATAGGTTTTCATCTTGCTTCTTCATGATCCGTGATGCCAGCTGAGGTTGTCAAGGCATCTCTAACTAGAAGGAGAAGGAGAAACTTCCCCAACCTATTTTAGTTATTAATAACTACATGACATTTTTTCAGGGGATGAGAAAATACAACTTCTCTGACTCAATTTTCAATTCAAAAATCAGCATCGAATAATTAGCCTGGTGCTTATATATTTTTGAGACTTTATGTTTCCATAGATATAATTTTCATTGAAAACCTTAGATTCTGGGAGATAATACTGCAATAATATTTTAAATGTTATTTAGTAGTTTTGGTATAGACTAACATAAGTCGTATGCAGATTGGATCTTTCCCTCCAATGGCTTGCTCACTTCGTAAAAGTAGTTGAAAATGGTGTGTACTTTGGAATGATTTCATTATGTTCATCATTTAAAAATAAGCTGTCACATATAGTGAGGGTAAAATTCGTAAAAAAGAAAAAAATCTAGGATTCAATATTCATATTAGTTTGCAAATATCCTTTTGCTTTTCCCTAAACTTGAAATCCCAAATGGTATGAGTATGATTTATATTTAAAAAAAGAAAAAAGAATAAAGAGGACAATTAATTGAGTCACATTCAAAGTAAAACCCATGACACTACAAATAATATATGGGCCTATATTTATGCTTTCAATTAAACTATTTGAGATAAATATATTT